GCTGGAGTGCAATCTCAGCGCACTGCAACCTCTGCCTCCCGGGTTCAAGCAAAATTCTCCTGCCTCGGCCTCCTGAGTAGCTGGGATTACAGGTGTGAGCCACCACGGCCTGCTAATTTTTCTATTTTTAGTAGGGACAGGGTTTCACCACGTTGCCCAGGCTGGTCTCAAACTCCGGGCCTCAAGCAATCTGCCCCCCTTAGCCTCTCAAAGTGCTGAGATGACACTCAGCCTCTAATTTGTATACTCCTTATTTTACAGATTTTTAAAGGTAGTCAAATTTCACAAATTTTTGACTTCCAAAAATAACGATAATCAGCGTTGTATGTACACGCGTGTCCTCGTATGCAGCACTTAAGATGACGTGAACCACTGTATTAGGTACCACCAATTTGAGGAGGTACAAAGCAAGAGAAGAAAAACTAAGAATTGGGTTTATGTAACAGTGGTGTTGTCACCTTTGTAACTGCTCCATTCATACCTAATTAGAGTGCAGCTTTGTAACAATTTATCATTAAATTTACATTTTGTTTGACTTCAATACTGAATGCCATTTTCTTAACTTTCAGAGCTCCCTCAACTTTTGGGGCCATCTGCTCACGTGGCCCGCCATTCATCTGTCACTCAGCCAAGACATCAGCCCCTCATGTGGAGGGCTCTATGCCAGCTTCTGTGAAGACTGGTGAATACTAGCGGCCGCTTGTCCCAGAGCACGTGCAATGTAACAAACTTGTAAATAAAATAAGCACATTGTAATACAGCGTGTTCGGTGTCATAACAGAAACACAAGTAAAGAGATCAGGAAATCAGCGCCTCTGCAGGGAATCTGACAGTCATGGAGAGGTGCCATCTGAACTGGGCTTTGAGGAATGAGTAGGAGTTTTCCAGGGGAAGGGACAAGGGGGACAAATGGTGGGCAGAAACTCCAGATGAAAGCAGGTGTGCCTGGGGTTAGCGAGATGCCCCCTGTGGAGGGAGCATAGGTTATGGAGGATGGGCTCACAGAACCTGGAGCTAAGGAAGTTGGCTGAGGCCAAATCTTGAAGGCCCTTGCACACCAAGGTGGGGATTTCATCCTGGAGGTGGGAGCAGGAGTAGCTTTGATTTAGGAGAGAAAAGCTCTCTAGAGATAGTGTAAAAGGTAGCTTGGAGTTTAAAAAATTTTTAAGTTCCATTTTAAGAAAATAAGATAAAATAATATTTCATGAACTTCTTTCCATCTTAATAAACACATTTCAACACGACTTCTATAGACTGTGTAAAATAACACTATATGTTTAACCAAAGTGTTACGTGGGGAGATTTTAGGTCATTTGTGTTTCGTCTTGTCTTTTTCATCTATTGGTTGTTATAAACAGGCACAGATTATTAATTATTTCCTTAAGGTAAACCAGTAATGAGACTGCTGAATTAAAGGTATGTACATTTTTCAGGCTTTAAATAAGTCAGTTAAATTGTCCTCCAGAAAGGCTGCACCAATTTCATTCCTACTAGGAGTGTTTGAGATGCCCCTTTGCCCAGCACCCAGCTGGATCAGTACGAGACGCACAGTAAGCACTCTCTCACTGCATTAATTGACCTGTTTCTGCTGAAGTCAAACATTCTTCCTCATGGTGGGGTGGCGGGAGGAGAGGACGCTTGTATTTTTTCTTTTGTGAATCGCCTGCTGCTATTTATCCATTTTTCTGCTGGTGTGTCTGCCTTTTCTTTCCTTGCTCTGTAAGAGTTCTCTGTATATTGAAGGCATCCTGTTGTTGCTATATGCGGTGTAAGTAACTTTCAATTTGTTATTTCTGTACATGTCTAACTTTCTGTACATCCCTGGCAGAAGAAACAGATTTGAATCCTCATGACACGTAGCTCAGTCTCTCTTCTGCGGCAGGTACTCAACAGATGTCCCAAGATGAGTGGATTATTTTTATCCAAGCTACTTTATGAAACCCATTCTGCCCGACTCCAGAAACGAAGGGATCAGTTGAACGTCCACACCCCCCTTGCTCCCAGCAATGTCAATTTGTCTCCTTCTTTCTTTCATTCATCCAACGAATGTTTACTGATCCCCTGATATGTGCCAGGTACCATTCTGGGCACTAGGGTTACCATAATGGGCAAAATCTGTCATTCTAATTGGGGGACTCAGATAATAAAGAAAACAAATAAAATATGTATGATGTTCAATTGTGATCAGCACTGTAATGTACATCAAAATACAGAAGGGGAGGCCGGTGGCTCACGCCTGTAAAACCAGCACTTTGGGAGGCCGAGGCGGGTGGATCATCAGGCCAGGAGATCGAGACCAGCCTGGACAACATAGTGAAACTCCGTTTCTGCAAAAAATACAAAAAATTAGCCAGGCATGGTGGCAGGCGCCTGTAATCCCAGCTACTCGGGAGGCTGAGACATGAGAATTGCTTGAACCAGGAGGCGGAAGTTGCACTGAGCTAAGATCGCACCATTGCACTCCAGCCAGGGTGACAGAGCAAGACTCCATCTCAAAAACAAAGAAAGAAAATAATACAGGAGTGGAGACTGAATCTGAAAGCAGCATGGTCGCAGAAGACCTCACTGAGAAGGGAAATGAAGGCGGGCGTGGAGGGTTGGCCCAGTGGATATCTAGAGGAGAAGGCTTCTGAGCAGACTGAACAATGTGCAGAAAGGTCCCAAGGCAAGAGCAGGCTCCGTGCATTCAGGGACAAGAAAGGCATCAGTGTGGCTGCAGCACAGAGAGCGATGACGGAGGCAGGAGGCTGCAGGTCACGCACGGCTTTGCAGCCCTCATCGGAGCGCTGCTTTTCTTCTGAGTGAAATGGGAGGATTGGAGCAAAGATGTGGTGTGGTCTGCCTTATGTTGGAGAAGGACAGCCCTGGCTACACACTGGGACTAGACTGGGGAGGAGACGGAGGCGGAAACAGGGAGCCTGGCGGTGGTCCAGGTGAGAGGCGCCGGCATCGTGGACCATCTCGGCGGCAGCAGCAGTGATGCTGAGGAGGGGCTGCATTCTGGGCACAGGTTGATGGCAGTCGAGCCAGCAGAATTTCCCGGTGCAAAATGTGAGAGAAAGAGAGGAATGAAGAACAGTGCCGAGGATGCCGGCTTGAGCAACTGAAGGATGCAGCTGACGTTAATGAGATGGCAAAGATGCAGGTGGGCAGGTGCAGAGGAAAAGGTCGGAACCTCGATTTTAGAAATGTGGAGGCCGGCCAGGAGCGGTGGCTCGCACCCGTAATCCCAGCACTTTGGGAGGCCGAGGTGGGTGGATCACAAGCTGAGGAGCTCAAGACCAGCCTGGCCAAGATGGTGAAACCCTGTCTCTATTAAAAATACAAAAAAAAAAAAAAAAATAGCTGGGCATGGTGGCAGACACCTGTAATCCCAGCTACTCGGGAGGCTGAGGCAGAGAATTGCTTGAACTCAGGAGGCAGAAGCTGCAGTGAGCCAAGATTGCGCCACTGCACTCTAGCCTGGGCGACAGAGGGAGACTGTCTCAAAAAAAGAAATGGTGACTGTAAGGTATGTATTTTATTAACATCCAAGTGGAGAGACTAAGAACTGAATACACAGGATACACTAATAACAGCTGTGTATAAGGCTGGGCACAGTGGCTCACGCCTGTAATCCTAGCACTTTGGGAGGCCGAGGCGGGAGGACTCCTTGAACTCAGCAGATCGGGACAAACCTGGGCAACATGGTAAAGCCCCATCTCTACAAAAAAATACAAAAGGCAGCCAGGTGTGGTGCAACTCTCTGGTCCCAGCTACTCGGGAGGCTGAGGTGGGAGGGTCACCCAAGCCTGGGAGGTCGAGGCTGCAGTGAGCTATGGCAGCACCACTGCACTGCAGTTTGGGTGACAGAGTGAGGCCCTATCTCAATTTAAAATACTAAATTGTTGGCCAGGCACAGTGGCTCACGCCTGTAATCCCAGCACTTTGGGAGGCCAAGGCAGGTGGATCACCTGAGGTCAGGAGTTCGAGACCATCCTCACCAACATGGAGAAACCCTATCTCTACTAAAAGTAAAAAAATTAGCTGGATGTGATAGTGCACGCCTGTAGTCCCCGCTACTCGGGAGGCTGAGGCAGAAGAATCGCTTGAATCGGGGAGGCGGACATTGCCGTGACCCAAGATCGCGCCATTGCACTCCACTCTGGGCAACAAGAGCGAAACTTCATCTCAAAAAATAATAATAAACTGTTGTGTATAAGAGGTGCGATTATAGACAACTTTTTCTTTCTCTTCTTCCTACTTCTTACTTTGCTTGGTCTTTGGAATTTTTAAAAATTTTGAAATCATAAGCAAGTTTTACTTTTATTTCTTCTTCTCTTTATTCATTTATTTTTTGGGTCTCACCTTGTCACCAGAGTGCAGAGGCGTGATTTCAGCTGACTGCAATCTCCAACTCCCGGGTTCGAGTGATCCTCCCACCTCAGTCGCAGAGCACCTGGGATACAGGTGTGCACCATTACACCCCACTAATTTGTGTATTTTTGTAGAGGCGGAGTTTCACCACGTTACCCAGGCCAGTCTCAGACTCCTGACTGAGCTCAAGCAATCCACCCACCTCAGCCTTCCAAAGCGCTGGGATTACAGGCATGAGCCACTGCACCTGGCCAAGTTTTACTTTTATAATAAAAAGTAAACCACATTTAATTTTAAAACATAATAATATGTAGTTATAAGATATGAGAGGAATAATCAAGTATTGCAGACTTTCTTTTAAATCTGCCTGTGTCCAGAACTTGAAATTCTGGTCAATTCCACATTCTCTGCGTCCTTACCACAGGCTCAATGCCCTGCTAGCTCAGGGGACACTGAGATGAACAGAGGTGGCCTCTGCCCTGCTGTCGCTCACGGCTCCACCGGCTGCAGGCCAGTCTCAGTAAATGCTTAATCAAAGTCCAAAGCAAGACCTGGGGCAGTGGACGGAAGGAGGGAGCCGTGAGCACATACACAGCCCCTAGACTGCAAAATGGTGAGAGCACACAGCTCAATAGACAGCCTCTGGGCCATACTGAGTGAAGTTTAAGGCAGGATGGAAGCACACAGATGGGTGATCAGGTCTCTCTTTACTGAAACACAGAACATGTGCCAAGGTGAGTCCAAGGACACCTGTGGGAACAGGCGAAGCCCCCCTCCCGACACATGTACTCCAGTATACGGGAGCTAGGGTCCTGTTGCCACATCTGGGGTGAGGGGCTTGGGCCAGCTGCCCTTCATGAGAAACTTCTGGGTACCTCTCCACACAGCAACGCAGCTCCGGTCTGCTGGTGGGGGCCCAGGCAGCCCCCTCTTTTGGCATATGAAACATGCCTGGTTGCAGCTGATGTCCGCTAGCCTCTCCTGACGCGCAGCAAGGAGACTTGGAGGAGAGGCACGTGGGCGTGGAGTTCACGGCGGACCTGGACAGCAAGGGAGCCAGGTGTTCCTTTCAGCCCATCTGGCCCGTGAGCTCACCACAGGCAGAGGACAGGAAGGGACAGTGGGGCGGAGCACGTGAGGAGGACAGCAACCCTTCCCGGGCCTCCCACATGCTAGACTCTGGCCAGGGGCTTCACACACGATGTCATCTAAACTTCACGGCAACCTTATAAAGCAGGTGTTATGATCCTCACATTGTAAGGGATGCAAGTCGCATGGAATCACTCATCCAAGACCACAGAGTTAGGAGCCAGAATTCACACCCAGATCTGGCTGGTTCCAAAGTCCATTGTCTAATCCCTGAGCCCAACTGTCGGCTGTCCCTGGACAAGAACGGGCGCCCAACCCCCACATGGCCTGGTGCCTGCGCCTCAGCTGCCTGACCTGTTCCAGTGTCTTTCCAATTCCTGAAATCATTTCCTGTTCAGGGGTTCAGACCTGACATTCAAACCTGGCTTCCTGGCCGGGCACGGGGGCTCTCGGCCATAATCCCATCACTCTGGGAGGCCGAAGCAGGTGGATCACCTGAGGTCAGGAGTTCAAGACCAGCCTGGCCAACATGGCAAACCCCTGTCTCTACTCAAAATACAAAAATTAGCCAGGTGTGGTGGTGGGCGCCTCTAATCCCAGTTACTCAGGAGGCTGAGGCAGGAGAATCACTTGAACCCAGGAGACGGAGGTTGCAGGGAGCCAAGATCACGCCATTGCACTTCAGCCTGGACGACAGAGCGAGACGCTGTCTCAAAACAATAAATAAAAGGAAACAAAACCAGCCTCCCTCTTCAACAAGGATCCACACTTGCTCCTCCGATTACCATGTGCCGAGGGCATCTGTCACTTACTTGGCCATGTGGCATCAAATCCCCATGCCGTGTTCAGGGAACCCCCCACGGTGGGCCGTGTTCGGGGAGCCCCCCACGGTGGGCCTCACAGTGGGAGTCGTGACGGGCCTTGCTGCCACTGAGAGAATGCCAGGGAGGCAGATACCCCCCTTCCCATCCCCTGGCAACTAGGTGTGTGCTACGGGGGCACAAGAGCTAAGCTCAGCCTATCGGATGTTCCCACTCAGGACTGCGGCTCTGACAGCTGACCCCAAGACAAAAGGGCAGTAAGAACCCAGGTGAAATCGTGTGCGTGGGCAGTATGAGGCCCGTCAGCTGTGGCAGCGTCCAATAGCGACCGACCGGCAAGAATGACCGTGTCCCAGCCAGCGTATTCCCGCCATCTGACCG